CACTGTGCCCAGATATGTTATGCCTTTGGTGGGTGTTTGTCTAAAATCTGTTGTGCTGTGTGAGGAAATTGTTAAAGGCTTGTACTATAAAATAAAATGATGCATAATGTGGATACAAGATATATTATGAGGGTTTTTGGTTTTTTTTTTTTGGCAACCTCAGTTCATTCTGAGTTTTGAACTTTAGGGCTTTGTGCTTGTTAGACAGGCCCTCTTCTACTAGAGTCATGCTTCCAACCCTTTCTACTCTGGTTATTCTGGAGATAGGGTTTCACTTTTTGCCCAGGCCAGCCTGGACAGTAATTCTAATTTTATGCCTACTGCTGTCACTGCGATGACAGGCACATGCCACCACACCCAGCCTTTTTCCATTGGGATGCGTCTCAGACTTTTTTGCCTGGGTTGGCCTGGAACTAGGATCTTCCTAATCTCAGCCTCTTACATAGCTTGGAATAACAGGAAGAACACACCTAGCTATTGGTCAAGATGGGATCTTGTGAACTTTTTGCTCAGACTGGCCTCAAATCACAATCATTCTGATTTCAGCTTCCCAAGCATCTGGGATTACAGGAGTGAGCCATCAGCACCAAGCTAAGATATATTCATTTGGACATATAAATACTGTGTTAGAAAGTATAAAAAAGCTTATACATTTCCCTTCCTTCCTTTTTTCTTTCCTTCCTTTCTTCTTTCCCTCTAGGCATTTTAAAGAGTGGTCAGTAGCATATTTCACGTGCTTTGTTAAGGATATATTAAGGATGAAGTATGGTGTCCTTTTCTCTTTTTTGCCTTGATAAAAATCTAGCATCTCTCTTTGCTTTCTCTTCTTCTTTTGGACCTAACATCACAAACTCATGTTGGAATATTCAGCTGTTCCTGGTTCCTACTGATGTTATCATTTAATCAGTTAGAGACAGGCCATTTAGAGAGCTATTGTCTGGCGTACTTGTTTTTACAACATGGGCTAGTTCTTTTGCCTTAGTCAGTCTTGCCATCCTTCTTTAGCTCAATAAATTTTCCTTGAAGTTTATTTTGTGTAAAGTATTATGTTGGGAGCCAGAGCATACACACAGTTCAGAGTTCCTATTCTAGAGGTACTCCCTGTCCAGAAGAGAAGGAAGACAATCTTCTCTCCTTTCCTATCTACTGTCATAAAACATAAAGCCACAATATTTGAATGAATAGTAATTTAATCCTTAATTAAACAAATCTCAACTTACTGTAACCTTTAGATGACAATGTTTTTTAACAATTTTTGTGAAAACTCACTCCAAAAAGAAACTAGCTATTTTGTAATAAAATATCAATTATATAGTATATATTTGTATTTTATTTATAGACACATATGACCTACTAAAATTGTGCAAGAGGATACAAGTAACTTAAACAGGTCTGTTAATGAGATTAAAACAGTAATAAAAAGTTTCCCAACAAAGTAAAGCCCAGAACTGGATGCATGCACTACTAAAATCTACCTGACATTTATTTATTTATTTATTTATTACTGTTGTGTTAAGGGTACACTGTGACATTTACAAAAGTTCTTGCAATATATCATAGCTGAATTCACCCCCTCCATCATTCTCTTATATACCCCCTTCTACCTGACTTTTAAAGAACTAACATTAAAGCTCCTCAAACTAGTTAATAAAATACAAAGGAAGAAATGTTATGAAATTCATTCTATGAAGCCTTCATTACCCTAATACTAAAATGAGGTAAGGACACAGACAAAAAAGAAAATTATGAACTAACTTCCTTAATGAACATAGATATAAAAATTATCAACTTCAACAACACATTAAAAATATCATACACCACAATCAATAAACATAATACAGCATATAAATGGAATTAAGACAAAAACCACATGATCATCTCAGTAGATGCAGAAAAAACCCCTGACAGTATTCAACATCCCTTCATTGTAAAAGCTTGGAAGAAAGTAGGAATAGAAGGAACATATTACAACTTATTAAAGAATGTATATGACAGACCTATAACCAACATAATAAAGGCAATATATGACTTATCTCTAGCCAACATCATAACAAACAGAGTAAAACTGAAATCATTTCTTTGAAGTTAGGAATGATGCAGGAGTGTCCTGTCCATTTTCTCTAGTTTTACTCAATATAATTCTTAAGTCCTTAACTATAGCAATAAGGGAACAGAAAGAGACAAAAGAGATACAAAAAGGAAAGGAAGAAGTCAAATTATTTGCAGATGATATGATCCTATACCTAAAAGACCCTAAAATCTCCACAATAAACTCTTAGATTTGTTAAACACTTTCAGCAAATTGGCAGGATACAAAATCAACTTACAAAAATTAGTAGCTTTCATATATATTGACAACTAACAAGCTGAGAAATATACAAGGCAAACTACCCCATTCACAATAATCTCAGAATACCTAAGAATAAATTTAACTAAGGAAGTGACATACCTCTACAATGAAAACTATGAAACATTGAAGAAAGAAATCAATGGAGACACTAGAAAATGGCTCTGTAGTGGAATTTGAAGTTAGGTATTATGATACCTCAACCATTGCTCTTTCTGATCAGTATTGCCTTTCCTTTTTGAGGTTATTTGTGCTTCCATAAGAACTTTAGGATTGATTTTTCTGTGCCTGTGAAGAATATCATTGGAATTTTGATGGGGATTGCACTGAACATATAGATTGCTTTGGGTAATATGGTCATTTTCATGATATTAGTTCTGTTGATCCATCAGCATGGGGGATCTTTTCCATCTTCTGATGTCTTCTTCAGTTTCCTTCAGTGATTCTTAGTTTTGTTGTAGAGGTCTTTCACTTCCTTTGTTCAATTTATTCCTAGGTTATCTAATTTTTTGAGGCTATTATAAATGGGATTGTCTTTTCTGAATTCTTTCTCAGTCTGTCTATTGTTGGCATATAGAAAAGCTACTTATTTTTTCTTCTTTTTTTACTGTTGTGCTGGGTGGGGGTACACTGTAGCATTTTCAAATGTTCTTATAATGTATCAAATATATCATACTTGAATTTACCCTTCCACTGCTCTCTTTCATCCCCCTCCCCTGATTCCTGGAATAGTTTCAACAGGTATCATTTTTGCATTTACATATATGTGTATACATTATTTGCACTGTATTTATCCTCCTATCCCTATATACTATAAATGGCTTGTTTTTATGAAATTATTTCAAACATTAAGTAATGGTTACAAAATCTTTTATTATATGTTTCTAGATAGGAATTTTTTTTGTAGCTTTGTAAAAAGGATTTCTAAAGCCTTCCTTTCCGGGGTTAATTACTCTGCTTTTGAATATTCTTAGTAATTTAAGGTAATGCATTCCAACAAAAATGTCTGTTTTGTGATACTTAAACTTATCTATTTTGTTTCTTTTTCATTTCAGGAAGCAGAAGCCCAGGCAAAGCAGCAAGCATGAACCTTAAACATTCTGCCTTAAGCATCTTGAAAAATGAGTCTCCTTTGCTTTTAAAATAGCAAAATTATCTTGGCTTCAAAAGAAATAGACTTAATGCTGAAATAATAGATTAGTTGGTGTTCTTGCATGCAAACAATCAAAATGAATATGTAATTAAAATGTGAATGTCATGTTGAGTAGAATGGGAGAGAAACATAAAATTTTAAGTAGATATCATAGTATTGTTACCTGCCAAGGATTTTATGTAGTTCAATGGTTTTACAAAGAAAACATCCTTGTTTTTTGATATTGTTATTGCAGCTTAATTATATCTGCAGCTCGGCATTAAGGAATTTAAAGAGAAGATTGAAGAGGGAGAGAGGGAGAAGTAAGGAGGGGGGAGAGAGAGAGAGAGAGAGAGAGAGAGAGAGAGAGAAAGTCTGTCTCATACTACTCCCAAATGGCCTCATTAACTTCAATGAGCAAAAATAAGTGCTATTTTGATGTTATTGTGATTAAAATGTGCTTGCAGTAATGTTTATGATATATTAAGCATTGCTATTTCCTGTGGTAATTATAACATTCCCATTCCCATTCTTTTGTAGAAGAAACATCTATGTACTGAACCACAGGTTTTCCAGGCTTCTAAATGTAGCTTTCCATTGCACATTAAGTGATCAGAATAGATGAATTCCCACAAAAAAGCATAAATGCATTCAGTTAACAAGCTCCTTATTTTATTTCACCGCTATGATGGAATCATGCTTCTAAGTTGTTTGCCTCAATGAAATATGCATGTCTATGTCATAGAAGTAGGATAGATGTTAAGTTTAAAATGGCACTATTGCAGAGGGCTCCAACTTTGTTTGAAAATATGTTGGCACGGCCTAGAATTTGTTTTCCTTGGGGTTTTGCTAAAAAAAATCTTATGGCTCCTTGCCCCCTTTAATACAATTTGTGATCATGAATGCCTGTTATCTCTTGACATTTCATTTCAGTTTAGGTATATATTGTGAGAATACATTAATCTAAGCAGAGAAAATTTCCTCTGTGCCTCTATTTCAACAAAAAGCACAAGCATCAAATAAAAGGGGCAACTTTTAAAATATTTTAAGACATTTAAAAAAAGATGATAAACAGCCTAAATCACTTATCCAGAAGCTATACATGTTGTACTTTAGTTCCATTTTTTTATGTCTAAAATTAAACACCTTTCACTTTAAACTTCTTTATCATATCTGTTGTTTGCAAGTCTGTAGTCTGCAAAAATCAACATATAATGAAGACATGGCTTTGTTTACTGAGATTCAAACTTGATGCGACCACTTTAAAATAAAGTCAGTAGTTTTTGAAACAACATTTATGAGGTCCTGAAGTTTCTAAATAGTGTAACAGTAATTTTAGATGATTAATGCCTTATTTAGAAGGTTTGGAAGGAGAAAAGAGAAAATAGCAGAAAGAAAACAATTTGAATGAAATTTCTAAGTTTTCTTTTTGTGCCCAGAATTTTGTAATACATATTTTTTATTATTATAAATTTTTATTAGGATATATTTATTATATGGAGGGATTCATAGTGACAATTCCGATGAGACTTATATTGTACATTATTTATATTGCCCCCATCATTTCTCCCCCTTAGCCCCCTCCCCACCCCACTTAAAGCAATTGCAAGAGGTTTCTTAGTTCTGTTTCATATAGGTATATGAAGTCCATCTACTTCATATACCTTAATCTCCTTCATTCACCCTTTGCCTTCCACTAGTACCCTCCTGCACACACTGTAACTATTTCTCAGTCCTTATTTTCGTTATTAATATTTAAGCTGACCTTCAAAGAGGTGTCTCAATGTATGCCCTCTGTAGGGATTCCATTGTTTTCTTCACAAAAATGTGCTATAGAGAACTCTGTAGAACACAGCATACGTTGTTACAGATTCTGGGAAATGCCAAAAAAAAAAAAAAAGCAGTATTTTCTCCTAAGCTTTATTAAATGCTACAGATGACTTTACTTTTGTTTCAAATAACTTAACACTGTCAAAACAGCTATTATTCAAAATAGATGTATTTTGGGGATGCTTATATCTAATAGACAATACCCTGCAATTAACACATGTGTAGATTTAAAGTAAAAGGTTAGATCAAATCTTCTTAAATTGAAAACTTTCATTTTGTCAGCTGAGAAATATACATCTGGTAGATAATAAAATAAAAGTGAAATTCTAAATATTAAGGTGAGTTTTATAAAGAACTTCCACAATATTTGTCTGGGAAATATAATCCTTGCTACTTTTTGTATTGCATTTGGCATATTTGTATTTATAAATTGACCTGGTCACTTGTTTATTTGGCATTTTAGAGCATATTTGCCCTTTGGAATTTTTGATGTACAGGAAGATTTCTATTTTCACAAAACAATTCAAATTAATTGATTGTATTGTCAAATGTCAGCACTTCTTTGGGAATCTGAGTGTGAGGGGAAGGAGAATTTTGAAACAAAAACTGTTAGTTGCCTGCCTGGGAAAGTAAATCCAGGGAATTTTAGTGACATTAGGTTTCGTTGCATATATTTCACTCATTCAGCAAAAGTAATAAAGGAGGAGTCCCATGGATTTCTTGTCCAGTGGGGGATGTTGAAAATATAGCAGGATTACATTGATCTCATCTTTTCCTGTGTAAAATAAATATTCCTTTGCTTTTGAAAAATTCTAATAAAACCAATTAAGATTAATTTGAATCTTCTGGTCTTCTGCCTCCCTTCCATGACTGCTGCTTCTGGATATTATCATTTATCGCCTTACTTTTTTATAGTAAACAAAATTTTGAATTCCTGTGTAAAGATTAACCATTCTTTTTAATATAGTTATTAATTTGCCATGGTTGCCTTTTTAAACATCTTCATTGAGATATAATTTGCATATCATAAAATACATCCATTTAAAATGTACAAATCAGTGGATTTTGGCATATGCACAGAATTGTCTAACCATCAATGCAATTTAGAACATTTCATCACCAAACTACATACCCATTAGCTCTCACTCCCCATCTTCTACTCCCTCAGCCATCCTTAATCATTCGAAGGACACTTGGGTTCTTTCCAAAGTTTTGGTTATTATGCATAATGTTCCTATGAAGACTAATACACATTTTTTATTTGAACACTTTTTCAATTCTTTCGGGTATATGTGCAAATGTGGGTCAGTTCTATGCTTAACAAGTTGAGTAACTGTCAAATTTTTCCTAAGTGGCTTCACCGTTTTACATTTGCACTAGCAGTGTGTGAGTCTTCTAATTTCTCTAGTTCCTGGCCAATGCTTCCTTTTTGTGCTTTTGATTATAGTCATACCACATTACAGTTGTATTTACATTTCTCAGATGGCTAAATATACAGAGCATTTTTCATGTGATTATGGCACTTGCATATTTTCTTTGGAGAAATGTCTTTTCAAATCGTTTGTCCTGGTTTGATTGGATTACATGTCATTATTGTTAAGTTGTAATAATTCCTTATGCATTGTTATTATTTAAATGTTATCATACACCTGAAATGAACATATATTCTTCCATTCCATGGGTTATTTTTCACTTTCCTGAAGGTGTACTTTTAAATACAAAAGTTTTTAATTTTGACAAAGTCAAAATTTTCTATTGCTTATGCAATAAGCACTTGGACAATTTCTCATATCTGAGAAAATTTCCTAATTCATAGTTGTGAATCAGTAACTTTTTTCCTCTAACAGTTTCACCCTATATACTCATGTGTGTGTGATCTATTTTGAGTTACAGTTTGTATATGATGCAGGCTAAAGATTTAAGTTCATTCTTTTGCATATGCATGCATATTCAGTTGTCCAAGTGCTGTTCTCTGAAAAATCCATTTTATCCCTATTGAATTTTAGTGGCACCTTTGTCAAAAATCAGATTATAATAAAGTGTGTACTTTTTAATATATTTTATTTACAAATTATAACCACATATAACTATGGGATACAAATTGAGGTAATATATAATGTGGAATGAGAAAATCAAGTTAATTAACATACCCGCCACCTTAAATACTTACCATTTATTCTTCTTGTCTAACTGTAATGTTGGACCTTTTGTCCCAATCTCCATATTCTGCCAGTCTCTGGCAACCACCATTCTACTTTCTGCACCTATGAGTCTGTTTGAGATCCCATATATAAATGAGAACATGCAGTATTTGTTTTTCTATGCCATCTTATTTCAGTTACTATAAAATCCCCCATCTTCATCCATGTTGCTGCAAATGACAAAATTTCCTTCTTTTTAAAGGCTGAATATTTCATGGTGTGTATATACCACATTTTCTTTGTCCCCATTCATTCATTGACAGGCATCTATGTTGATTTCTATTACTTAGTCATCGTAATAATGCTTAATGTTAAAGTATATTTCTGGATAGTCAATTATATTGCATTTCAACAGTCAGAATGTCTGTGTGCTATATGTGTAAGTATGACACTATCACACAGTTTTGATTTCTGAGGTTCTAATTATTCAATTTACCTCTTATAAGGCCTCCCTGAAAGAGAAATTTAGTGAGTAAACAGTTTTTTCCCCCAAAATGTGCATTTCTGGTTTGATACCAGTCAACATGTATTTGAAGCAATCGCTAGGTAGTGGCTTCTAAAAACTGATTTTTAAAAAAATTATGATGGATAAGGCTGGTGTGGAAAACATGTACGTGGAGCATTCCTGATTGAAAATTCCAAGTAACTCTAAGGACCCCGTAAGTGTCTACCAAGCCATTGTACTTGAGGAATGAGTATTTCTAACTAAGGAACTAACAATTTGATATGTACAGTATTTTAAACATTTTTCCACCCCAGGTTCCATATTTTCTCTCTAACATAAAAAGTAATAGATGGAGGTTTTATTTATGCCTTCAAATTAAGACAATGGACTGGCAATACATGCCTGTGTATGTCCAGGAATTTGGCCATTTTTCCTAGGTTGTAAAAATTGTTGAAATATAATTGTCCATAATAATCTCTAATGATCCTTTGCATTTCCATGGTGCCTGTTGCAATGACTCCCTTTTCATCTCTGATTTTTATTTCATTCTTCTCCCTCTTCTTAGTCTAGCTAAGTTTGTCCATTTTGCTTATTATTTTAAAGAACTCCCTCTTCATTTCGTTGATCCTTTGTATTTTTCTACTCTTTTTCATTTCTGTTCTGATCTTTATTACTTTTACTAGTTTTGGTTGAATATTTTCTTGCTTTATAGTTCTTTGGGAAGTAGCAAGAGTTTATTTGAAATTTTCTGTTTTTTTAAGTGTAGGCATTGTTTGCTATAAATTTCCCTGTTGGTATTGCTTTTGCTGTACTTGATAGGCGTTAATAAGTTCACCTTCCATTTTCATTTGTTTCAAGAAGTTTTTAAATTTCCTTATTGGTTTCTTCCTTGATCCAAAAGTAAGTTGTTTAATTGCCATGAATTTTTGTAGCTTCCAAAGTTTTTCTTGTTACTGATTTCTAGCTTTATTGCATGTGGTCAGAAAAGATACTTTATAGGGTTTAATTTTTTAACTTTGCTAAGTATGGTTTCGTGGTCAATCATGCAGTTAGTCCAGCAGAATGTTCTATTTTACTGATAAGAAAAATGCATATTCAGCAGCTGTTAGATGGAATGTTTTGTATATGTCTGTTAGACCCATTTGGTGTGGAGTACAATTTAACTCTGCTATTTCTTTGGTGATTTTCTGTCTGGATAATCTTTGTGTTGCTGACAGTGGAATTTTAAAGTCATAATTATTATCATTGTGGTCTATCTCTTTTAGTTTATTAATATTTATAATGTGAGTGAAATGACACTGGGTTCATATATATTTAGTTTTATTTCCTCTTGCTGAATCTCCCCTTTAGCATTATATAATGGCCATATAATGGCCTTCCTTTTTACCTCTTTTTATTTAAAGTGCATTTTTTTCTGAAATCATTATAAGTATTCTTGCTTTCTTTGGATTCCATTTACAGGGAGATTCTTATTCCATCCCTTTACTATCAATCTATATGTGTCCTTAGAGGAGTGAATTTCTCATTAACAACACATTGTGTACATCTCTGTTTCTAAGAGAATTCAATCCTTTAATCTTGCTTTGGGGTTACCATGAGGCTTGCAAAAAAACATTGATTATAACAAGGTATTTTGAAACAATAGTGAGATAACATAAAGATAAGAACAGAAACAAATTTTTAAATAGAACAAAAGAAAATATGCAAAAATATCTTAAATTTTCTTCTTTCTCACATTTAAAAATTTTGATATCTCATTCTAAAGTCTATCTCTTAACATATTAATGTAGTTCTTATTTTTGTATTTCTTATTTTTCATAGTAAATATATGGTTTATGCATGATGTTTACATTATTAGAACATTCTGAATTTAAGTGTATAGTTACTCTTCCTAGTGAAATTTATAGCTTCCGATGTTTGTTTTCTTCTTACTAATTAATATCTTTCAATCTAAAAAACTCTCTGTAACTT